AAAGGAGACTCATCTCTGAGCAAAGTTACAGGCACTCATTCAGAAGTAAAGTAGACTCATATCTGAGCAAAGTTACGGGCACTCACTCAGAAGTAAAGCAGACTCATCTCTGAGCAAAGTTACAGGCACTCATTCGGAAGTAAAGGAGACTCATCTCTGAGCAAAGTTACAGGCACTCACTCAGAAGTAAAGAAGACTCAACTATGAGCCAAGTTACAGGCATTCACTCAGAAGTAAAGAAGACTCATCTCTGAGCAAAGGTACAGGCACTCACTCAGAAGTAAAGAAGACTCATCTCTGAGCAAAGTTACAGGCACTCACTCAGAAGTAAAGATGACTCATCTCTGAGCAAAGTTACAGGCATTCACTCAGAAATAAAGAAGATTCATCTCTGAGCAAAGTTACAGGCACTCACTCAGAAGTAAAGATGACTCATCTCTGAGCAAAGTTACAGGCATTCACTCAGAAATAAAGAAGATTCATCTCTGAGCAAAGTTACAGGCACTCACTCAGAAGTAAAGAAGACTCATCTCTGAGCAAAGTTACAGGCACTCACTCAGAAGTAAAGGAGACTCATCTCTGAGCAAAGTTACAGGCACTCATTCAGAAGTAAAGGAGACTCATCTCTGAGCAAAGTTACAGGCACTGATTCAGAAGTAAAGGAGACTCATTCATGGGCAATGTTACGGGCACTCACTCGGAAGTAAAGGAGACTCATTCATGGGCAATGTTACGGGCACTCACTCGGAAGTAAAGGAGACTCATTCATGGGCAATGTTACGGGCACTCACTCAGAAGTAAAGGAGACTCATCTCTGGGCAAAGTTACAGGCACTCATTCAGAAGTAAAGGAGACTCATTCGTGGGCAATGTTACGGGCACTCATTCAGAAGTAAAGGAGACTCATCTCTGAGCAAAGTTACAGGCACTCACTCAGAAGTAAAGGAGACTCATCTTAGCAAAGTTACAGGCACTCATTCAGAAGTAAAGTAGACTCATATCTGAGCAAAGTTACGGGCACTCACTCAGAAGTAAAGGAGACTCATCTCTGAGCAAAGTTACAGGCACTCATTCAGAAGTAAAGGAGACTCATTCGTGGGCAATGTTACGGGCACTCATTCAGAAGTAAAGGAGACTCATCTCTGAGCAAAGTTACAGGCACTCACTCAGAAGTAAAGGAGACTCATCTCTGAGCAAAGTTACAGGCACTCATTCAGAAGTAAAGGAGACTCATCTCTGAGCAAAGTTACAGGCACTGATTCAGAAGTAAAGGAGACTCATTCATGGGCAATTCACTCAGAAGGAGCAATGTTACGAGCATATCAACTTATGGGGCCATATAGAACTACAGTGGTTCATGAATAACGATTACACGCATTTAGCGCTTGAAAAGTAAATATACTTGAGCACTCTTTAAAGCGAGACCCTGCTGTGACATCATAGAGCATTCCATATATGGTAACGGACCGGGTTGTGTACACATTAGTTAATGTATGTCAACAAATCAATAATCATTATTCAGAGATGGCCCACATATAAACTATACCATACCGCCACATATTATTTACCAGCCATCCTTAACCTACTGTTAATTGTTTGAATTACTGAATCTCGTTTCCAGACCTTGTGTAAGAGTTTGGGTTTACTTTCCAGCATGTATGAGAATATAAGTCCCCCTTTACTATCCCAAACTGAATTATTTTGTCTATATTGTGGAATGATGATTTTGAATATGGAGTACATACGGTACATCAGTGGTTCCCGACCATATTTTTGAGCCACGAACTCCTTTGAATATTTTCTAACATACCCCGTTCGCAATATTTCTGAATTTGAATCGAAATGTTATACAAAAGAAAGGGTATTAAGTTAAAATGAGTACAGGATGAAAATAGAAGGAATCCCAATTTATCTGTTTCGGTTTATTGGGTGCCACCGTAAAAAACAACAATAATGAAAATGCATCTTAGTCACTTCATAATAATGTTTGCCCTCTGTAGTCCACAAACTCACAAATAAACGATTGGATTAGGGACGAACTCTTATTAGGCTACATTAAACTCTCATAAATGGTAAAATTTAACGCCAAATTTACTGATGCTGCCACAACCAGAATAAAATCAAATTTTGATGTTTCAGCTAAAAAAATAGCTCAAAGAATTTGTTTAAATTGCGATTAAATTTAGTTTTTGCACAAGGCTCATTGTTTTTCATTTGCTTCTGTAACACTGTATATAAATTCCGTTCACAAAATGTAACTTTTTACGTCACTCTTAGATGGCCCACCAGTCTAGATGGGCAAAATTTTGGCCCCTGGTCCAAAAAACTGTTCTAAAGTCTAATACATTTAAAAACATACAAATATTTGAACGATGCTCTAAAAGTGAATTTAGCGCCACATTATTAAATACTTCCACAGTGCGTTGCTTGTGCCATTGCCAAGGGGGATTTTTGGTGGCAAGAGTAAAAAAGTACTGGTACACAGTCAGTAAAAAATGAAAACCACTGTTCTAAAGTCTAATAAATTTAAAAACAAACTCAAACATTGTAGTATGAAGTGGAACACTGCAAAGTAATTAAATCCAAACAATAGATACACATTGTAGCTAGATGAACAGAGACACTCAAAAATCAAAAACAAGAAAACATTTTTCACTAAATATTTCAAATTTGAATCCTGTTCAATATTTTTTGCATGACGCTTGCAAGTACTTATACAGGCAGCCACTGATATCTCTTTTAACGTATGGAGTTACTTTTTTGGTCGAAACTGAATCCTCCCAGTTCAACATTGGTTGCCTGGTTTATAATCTGCAATGTCAACACACTTAAGGTAAGTCTGATGCTTTAACTGCTGGACCAGCGATAAGCAACCTGGAACTCTGGAATTGCATGCTTACTTTTGTTCTCAGAGCTCTGGCTCCTGTGAGTCAAAGTGGTTATTGCAGTTTTTGTTAGAAGCAATGGGGATTTGATGAAAAGGGGAAGAAGCTAAAGGTTCTCGACCTGTGTGCTAAACGATCGCACCATACAAAGTTTAGATATACATACCGTATATACTTGCCTATAGGTCATATAGGTAATCCTAAAATATATATTTATTTTGTTTGCGTTTGTCAGGCTTCCACTCGAATGGCGGTAAAAGAAATCAGGGGGACATAATGTAACAGTACATACACGTCTTTTTTCAGCTGTTACAAAAAAAAAGTAGTATTTACTTTTAATTTTGTTAGTGCGATACAAGCACGAATGAAACATTTCGGATTATTTCTAGCAAATTTCATAACGGACAGGTTGGAGTAATACTTGAGGAATGGCAACTTGTGCACTGTTTTACATTAACACGTGCCAGATTTCATACCAGACCAAGCATACTGTGCGAATGTCGTCTTACTTTAGCCCCAGCGACCATGTTCGATCGAGATAAAGCGTCGACTAATTATCGCTCGTCAGCGCGGCGTCCATTAGTCACATTTGGACTTTCTGAATAACGAAATTAAACATAGTCCACAATAATAATGAAGCCCGAGTTAGCCAATAATGCTGTTAGCCACAAATAATATTGTCTCTAATATTTATGGAAATTTTTGTTCGCAATCGTAGTCGGGTGAACGATTGTTTTACTCGAAATTAATTTAATTTAATCATGGTTAATTTTATCGTCTTCAAGCATTTCCATTTATAGTAATTCAGATGCAATTAGAATGTTTTTGTCGTATTACTCTATGCTGCCAGCATAAATAAAGAATATTGTACTAAAATTTTGAAGATAAAGAATCGGTAATAAGGCCGGCCTTAATTCAATATAACAAGAAGTGAAATACCACAGTCACACATTATACTGGCATGGGACTAGGGAAAGCAGTGCTGTTACTGTGTTTATGACAGAACAGTACAACTGTTCCCTGCTTACTTTCTCATATGAATTCCATCAAATTGCCTCAGTCCTAATACAAGTATAACACAATAATAACTTAGTATTGTAAGACTCACAGATAAGTTGCAACAGCAAGTTTTTCATCAATGCATTTCTTGGTGATATCTATGACCTACACCTTTTTTTTCCATGATGGAAATAAGTGTGGCTTATTCACTGAAAAACCCTTATCATCCTTGTTATATAGCGTATTCCATTTTCGGGTTTTTCTCTTCTAGATTTGAGCTTTTTTGTGACTTTGAGCAAACATACGCATGCAATTAAAAAAAAAGCTTGATGGAATCAGATTCGGAAAGATTCGATTCGAAAATTTTTGATTCAAGATTCGATTTGAAAAAAAATGTATCCAGAAGTGGCAACCCTAGTGGTGGTTATTTTAGCTAAAATTCAAAAATGCGCAAATGTAAGAACGTTTTTCAGGATGAGTACGGGGAAGAATTCAAAGGTAAACGAAGCTTGAAGGGTGAGTGCTTCGCACACTGTGACATCTGTAATTGTGACATTAACCTGGAGGCCATAGGAAAGCCAGCTATTTCTGCTCACAATACTGAAATTTTTCCAGTCATCTTTATTTCGGGTTCGAGATCGATGGAATCCCTGCTTATACTGATGAATTTACAAATATTCTAATGTTCCCTTATTGCGAAATACAGTTGAAGTGAACACTGCTGCCCTATTCATAATCTGCTGTCCATATGGTAGCACAATAGCCCTCTGCGGAAGAAGCCATTCAAATGGCGATTGGGACCATATATCCATTCTTATTCCGAACAGAAAAAATAGCACTTTATCTCCTTTTGATGCTGAGGCAATATCAAATAGTACATTTGTATTATGCCATTTCCACAATATCGAATAGGTACATCCAATAAAACAACTCCAAATTAAATAATATTTAGAATACAGAGTTTTGTGCCCAAATGTGACCACTTATCAACATTCTCCCTCTACGAGCATTTACTATGTTTTTACCTGTTTACGAAACCAGTTTCAATTGAAAGAAAATTTGACTGGAAATTTGGAAATTCATCAAAATTAAATATAAAAAAGCATTCAAGACTTACTCGTTTCATTCACCGGACTGTCCAGCTACTCTCAATATGCACAGTATATCCAGGTACAGCTACTCCCAGTAGGTAAGTGTGAAGTATATCCAGGTTACATCTCTATATGAGTTATGAATCCCAAAATGCTCTTGTTGAAACATGGCTCAATATATCATCGCCTACATTAAGCTAAGGCTAAAATCACAAGAACACACAGATTAGTCAATATTTACAGCAATAAAAGAATGTATTGGATATGTTAAATTATACAAGAATCATATGGCATCATGAATATGGAGGCGCATACTTTAGCAACATAACGCAGTGGTTATAAATAGAATCGTGACATATTGGATTGCATTAGGGATGAAAAATAATTGCAGGAAAATGATGATAAATTTAATTTTATCTGACAAAACAGTTGCATAACAATTACAAAACCTACTTAATAAAAATATGGGAGATTGTAAACACACACTGAAATAACATTGTCACACTATTCAAAGAATGTATAATTCTCAGTTTAATTCATTGATATGCTCGTCAAATATATCGAATAATAACAATCATCATGAAATTGAAATATTTATAATATTATCTGCTTTCTCTTTCTCAGAATTAATATACGTTTTGAAACATTATCATGCTTGGGAAACAGTAAGAATACAACAGCAAGCAATATACCAATTATGTGTTAAATAAAAATATAATGAAGACAGTTGAAGATTAATAACATATGACTAATTAATAACATATGACTCCGTTTAATTTAAGACCTCACTTATCCAAGTGGATGTTCTATTGAGTGAGAGTCAGATATACTGAATAAATACACATGAAACAATCACAATAGTCAAGAATCTAAGTTCAATTTAAGGGTATAATATATTATGTCAGAAAGTTGGCTCTTTAACATCAGAGTCAAAATATATCTCTTTCTCAGAATTAATACAAAATTTTCATTTGTAACAGTAAGTAATATATCTATTACATGTTTGAAAATACAAAATTTAATACAGATAGTTGGAGATTATAAATTAGCATGAAAATATATTAAAACAGTAATAAAGAACATATGACTCAGTTTAATCTAAGAACATGCACTCACTCTCACTTTAATTCAAAGAATGCATGTCCAAGTGACAGTTCTATTAGGTCAGAGTCAAGATATGTAGAATAAGAAGCTTCATTTAAGTCTAATTATCGCACTATTTCAGAATGAATATATCAGTAATAATATTCGTCCAATTCCTTGATTTAAAGTGTAGGCCTCACAAATGAAATGCAGAATTGCCTGGTATTCAACAGTATTCTGTGCTTTGAAGTAGGAATTTTAATTGGAAACTCCAAACTTTTTTTTTTTGAAGTATTTCGCACCCCAAAGGACAGTATTCTTTGTTTCTGGGTTAATTAGGAATGGGTTGGATATTTGTGAAGTATCTTTGGATGCTTCATGCTTGGAAACACATGCTTGTTCAGAATTTCCTAAATGTGTAAGTTCATTTGAGCCTGAACCATGATTGGATTAATTATACGGAAATACCATGATCCACTATTTATCTTTGCACTTGGACAAAGTTTCACAGTTTCCTTCCTCAGAAATTCCATCTTTGACTCGGGCAACTCTTGACATAAGAACACGAGCCCTCCCGCCCTCTGAACCAATCTAGAAACAATCATCAGTTCATCATCAGTGAGGGATTCTGTAGTTGATCTTTCCAGGTATAAGCTAGACAACTTGACATCTTCATTTTCTAAACTTGAACAAAGAGCTGATAACTGCTCACTTGTTGGAGTGCAATGCTTTGCCAACAGAAACTTTCCCTCAGTATTTTTCAGTAACTTTGCCAGTTGTTGAAATGCTTCTGCATCCATGTTAGGATCCTTTATAATATCCAATGAATCCAACTTGACACCATTATCAATGACTGCTTGGTTCATCTTACTTATTTTCTCTGCATTCAGGCCACAGTCATTCAGTCTGAGATATTCAGTCTTTGCATTTCCTAATAATTGAGGCAATTGTTGAAATGCTTCTGCATCCATGTTAGGATCCTTTACAATATCCAATGAATCCAACCTCACATCATATTCAATGACTGCTTGATTCATCTTACTTATTTTCTCTGCATTCAGGCCACAGTCACTCATTAAAAAACTTTCTGCACCACCATGATAAACCAATCCAATTAGATAAGAATAACCAGGAGGTTCAAGTGCTGGACTTTCACTTAACATGAGCAAACCAATCTTAAGGTTTCCCTTCATCACAGCTTCATTCAGGATTCGAAGATTCTCAGCATCAGGGTCACAATTGATAAGATAGAAGTATTTCACATGAACATTCTCCACAGAACCAAGAACATGTTGCAGAGAAGAATAATTTTCAGGATGTATTTCCAAATAGAGTAGTTTCAAAGTATGAAGTGAAGGACTATGATCAGCAACAGACATCACTGCATGCTGTTCTCCAGGTTGGACTGACCTCAACTCCATCTCTTCTATTTGTGAGCAAACTTTCTTGATCACATCAGAACCACATTCATGTAATAAAGTCACGACTCGTTCATCTGAAATGACTCTTCCTATCAATAATTTATCTAAGTAGCCCATCAGGTATTCAGACTTGATATGCAAGTTATCAGGAAGATATTTTGCTGCTTTTTCTGAAGTTGATTTGTTGAGAATAATTCCAAAAGTATGTTTTATAACGACTTCCATTCCCTGTTTATTATAATTATCCTCAATAAACTTTGTGAATTCATGCAAATCAAGAGTGCAGGCATACAGGGCAGCAGATATCTCTCCTATACTTTGATGAGAGAATCTAATTTTCATATCATCGTCATCTGCAACATACTCGACAAATCGAGTGTCGGCATCCATCTCAACAAGACCACGCATGTCATTCATATTCAACTTAAGTGATCTAATATAGCTTGCAGTGAAAACAAATCGATTCTCTATCATTCCGTGGAAAGCCAACTTCATGAGTTCCAATAAAATACTTCCGACATTTCGTCCATGACGAGATCCTGAAAAAAGTCTCAGAACAGAAATCATGAGATTTGTTAGAGTTTCAACATCGATTTCTTGGGAATCTTTCAAAACTCGGACCAAGTAGAAAAAAAACATTGGGTTTGAAACAAGTTCTGGTGCTTCACGTCTCAAATCATCAAAGATATTTTTTGCTTCAGGACTAAATAACTTTTTAGCAAGAACTTTCAGTGTTTCATCATCCCATCCCCCTAATGTGAGATTCAAGGTGGCCTTGAGATCTGGAGGCAACTTCCAATAAACATTCCAACGAGTCGTAGACAAAATCTTCATTCCTGGATACATGTGGCCGGATAAAATATTAGCAAGAATAGTGTTGGTTTTTGCTGGAGTGTCCACTCCAATTCTTCCATAATCATTTGCAAAAGGCTTCCGACTTTGATCCAACCCATCAACTACAAGCAGAATATGTTTTGAATTCAGTTTCAACCACTTTTGTCCAACACGATGGAGATGCTCGGGAAGTTTCGAACCAAGTTGTTGAACGAATAAAAGATCAAAAGCGGTTGATTGGGAATCACCTTGTAAATTAGAAACATCCACAAAATAAACCATCTTAATTTCGTTCGAAAAATATAATTTATTTTCCAGTGCTGACAATGCATATCTCATTGAAAATGTTGTTTTTTCCAGAGCCTGTGTCTCCTAGCAACATCACACGATTGACTAAGTTATCATAATGAATCTTCGTGATATCCACTGATTGCAAACTACTCTGTTTGTTGGATTCCGATTCCTTGAACTCGGTAACCTTGGGAAATATAAAATCATCCATTTTTGTTTTTTCACTGGCGGATTTCAATCTAGATTCCACCATGTGCTTTGTATAATTTTTCACGACTTCAAGAAATTCTTTTTCTTCTGAAACTTCAGTTGTTTGAGTTGGTTTCACAGAAAGTTTTTTGAATGATTCCAACATTCTGTCTCCATCTTCCTGAATGATCTGCTCTTCCTCTACTTGATTTGCATCTTGAACATAAAGCCCAACCACTGCTCTTATTCTTTCTATCACTGCTGCATTGTTAGTATTCGGATACTTAGAATGTCTCCATTTCCACAGTAATTTAAGGTTGCGCTCCTCCACTGAGAATCTATTATTTTCTGTGATAGTGTCAACTTCATGCTCAGTAAGAGATAATCCCTGCCCTGATCTCGCAAATTGCTTGAATTCCTTGGATGTAAATTGTTTAATAACATCTTGAAAAACATCTTCAAGTCTGTCAATAGGAGCAGCAGCGCCTTGTTGTTCAGCTGCATGGTATCGCGTAACAAGATTCCTTATCCTTTGTGCAGTTACATTCGGTTGGTTCCTTTCAACCCAAAGCCAGAACAATTTCTTCTTCTGTTCTTCAACAGAGAATCTGTGGTTTTCAATGACCGTAGTGACATCTTGCACACTGAGTGAGAGTCCGTTCCCAGATTGTGCGAAGGTTGTGAAATCTGAAGTTGAAGCAAATTGTCTCACACATCCTCTGATTACATCTTCTAGTCGGTCACTCATATTTCATACTACTTAACTATTTCTGTATTGCGAACTACACTATTATTGGGGAAAAAAATACAAGCGAAAGCGTGATTAATGACTTTGCACCTTCAACAAACAAGAGGTTATTAGAGAAAAAAACAACCTGAATCGCCGAAGTAAATCAGTTTTGCGTTTTAAAGCTTTGATAAAATCACTTTTTCATAAATTTCAGATCCGTAAAGCCAATCTTTAAATGGACATAAGAGATCGAAGAATTCCCTTTAAAAAATGTGACTGTGACTATCTATGAAAACAATCCCCACAAAGCAGCAATCAATAACTAACGTAACTATCAGTTGGGGTATTACAAGACTAACTACTGTTTCTTGCTCTATGCCTTTGTGGATCACTATGCGTGTAATGATAAACTGACTTATGATAAAATTCACGATAGAAACTCAATAATATTTAAGAGCTATTTTATACACTGTAAAGTGCGATTAATTAATTGCGACACAACTTGCTTATAGATTTTTTTACCCCCTCAATATTTTCAATAAAAAAATCCTCGACATGTCATAACATATAGGTACTCCTAGTCAGCGCTGATTGAAATCCTCTCATTTCTGCTTTAATTTATTGCTGCAACACGCTTAAGATAAAACTTAAAATAC